AGAGGACAACACAATCTATTCTTTCCAGATGGAGTGGAGAAGAAGCCCCACGACTATACAGAAGAAAGTCGAAGGAGCATGCACAATATAAACGGAGATGAGAGAATATCATATGGAAACACTTGATCTTGGGGACCAAATTCTATTCAGGGTTCAGTTGTGTACTAGGTGTCATTTTTTACATACTTTATGCATGATGTGTGGTTTCTTTGGATGATTTATGGTGTGCAGTAGTCCAATACACAGCTTTGATGTGGATCTTCCTTCACTAACAAGATTATAGGGCGTGAAGGTTCTCGACTTACAGTAAATCTCAAAATACGAATTATGCCGTACATATCGAGATATATGGAGTGTGTAGAAAAAACTACTTCGGATGTTGCCGCTCCTCGGCGTGCACCGGTTACCTCCGCCCGTCATCCCTAGCCTACATGAGGACCTTTCTACCAAGCCACGGATGGCTGGCTACCTCCCATGGATCACCACAACATGTGCCTCGATGCGCTCATGGTGGCCCACATGGTTGGAACAATTTTTGGTGAGGTGGGGCCACACGGAGGCATTGGTCCACACCTACGACCAAGAGGGGGAAGGGGCATCTAGCCCATCGACAAGCTCTGACGCCCGACCGGGATGGACACGTAGCCCCCACGATCGCCGAGAGCCAAGAGAGGTTGTCAATCAAGTAGGAGGATGGGAAGGGCGATCAAGGCAGATGCGGGGTGCATGCGAGAGAGAGAGAGAGAGAGAGAGAGAGAGAGAGAGAGGGGGGGGATTCAAATGCGGGAGGGAAAGGATGACACGTGTGGCGGCAACAGAAGAGGGGGAAAGGTTTTGAGAAATAGGTGGTGCCAGTGTAGCAAAGAATATTTTTCTAATAGCAAACGTGTATCATATGTATATTCTAAAATTAGCATCCGTATGACTAGTTAATTGTAATTACTGCAATGTAAAATATTAAATGCATTTAATGTTCATTTTGAGGCTAACATGTTGGTGTTTGTTTGATAATTTTAAATTTTAAATCTGATATAATATTGAAAATGTAGGTCCCAATTTGATATATGATAATAATATGACTGGCGCATACGAGATGAAATACAAAAGAAGACTAAATCACAAGGTGAGTGGACGGTCATGCTATTCCATCTATGCTCAGGGTTAGATGCAATTTTCTCTCTCGAAATAGGGGCATAAGAATTGCCTTCCCTATTAAATTGGGAGAGAATAGTGTTTTATAGTGACCCACAATCATGGCATGGCAATTACTTGCCCAATACAATATTCCCTTGTTTCTTAGTACTCGGAGTAACACATAGTTTAGCCTCATCGAAAACAATTTTTAGAAGAATTGGCGGCGGTGCACACTTGTGGCGGAATACACGAGAATTTCTCTGATTCTAAATTGTCCATGAGACAAGCATGATGAGGAAGGCCATAACTCGTCTATTGGGGTTTTGCATGTCAGTTCTCTTATCCCATCAATCATTGACGGTGCCCTCTAGGTACCAAGTGGAGGTGTTCATGCGCACAAGTCCAAATTTCTCTAGTATAAAATTGTCCAAGAGATGCGATTTTTTATTCAATTACTAGCTAGTATATATCTTCAGTTTAAGCGCTCCAACAAATTATTATATGTATATATTTATTTTAGAGAAAAGGCACAACACTAGCCTGAGATAGGGCTCGAGTATAGCCTGACTTTGAATCAAGAAAAAGCCAACAACCGGCCAGGATTTGCAGTAACATGTATATATTACTGCAAGTAAGTTGTGGATTAACGAAGAACAAAGGACGGCGGAGATGATACTATTTTTAAAGTTTGTAAACACATGAGAGCAATATTGTTTTACATTGAAACTTTAGCACAATAACAAAACATAAAGCATCATATCCTCTGAGTTAAAAACGTCATATTGGATACCTGTGTTGAGCTGTGGGTCGGTAGCTCTGCGCGGCGCGGATGCAGTCTTGCCGATCCCTCAGCACCCTCATATTGCTCCAACGGACGAACAGGTGCAGTTAGCCGAGGGCAGTTCGTTGGGGAGATGAAGGATGGTTAAAGAAAGACGGAGAGCGACGTGATAATGGCTTCTGTAGTTTATAATATCTCAAATTGTAGGCAGCTTGTATTGGACTGGCGCTGCTTTGCTTGCAGTTGGAGACTATGAACGCATGCAAGCAAAGTACTACTATAATACCGTACGTGTGGCAGTTGGAGTCCATCGATTCCTTTCTTGGACTAGCGAAGCTTTTTGCTTTGCTTGCAGCTCGAGACGAATGAAACGCATCCAAGCAAACCATAGTTGCTCGATCGAGGGGAAGGGAACCTTTTTTTTAGGAAAGAGAACCTCTTACTCATTACCTCAAAATTGCGTATACGTGGATTCTCATCAATGGTGAGCAGACATTTGCATCCGTCACTGGTAATCTGGCCCTGCGGCGGGCGTAAATATTGGCCGCTCAGCGTTCACTACAGGAAACTCACGTTTTGCCGTGTGAAAGACTATAAACCGAGAGCTTTTTTTTCGGGTACTCGGCTTATATTCCTCTAAACCGAGTTTACAGGAAAAAACACCCGGCAACTACAAAGCACACAGCTTATGGCAGTCTGTAAGCTGTCTGGTCCTGAAAAGCCCTTGGCTTACTATAAGCACACGGCATCTACTGAAAAAAGGACCCGGCTTATAGCTCGTACTCGGTAAAGATATTTGCCACGTGTCTACAACGGAGGTGATTGACGGCGTCGTCATGGAGCAGCCTATAAGCCGTGTGCCCTGTCAAAGCTCTCGGCTTATAGGGCATATAAGCCGTGAGCCCCGTGAAAGCACTCGGCTTACATTTTTGCAGATTTTTCACACCGCCTAACATTTATGCAAAAACGGTTTTATAATTATTTCCATTGCATTTACGTTTACTACTTCAATATTATTTCTTTCTCACCCGCAGTGGCGGGGCCCACCCCTCCTTCCACTGCATAAGGCCTAGGCATGTCACGAGGACATCATATAGGATTTCCCAAGCCACTTCTAGACATGATTCCATTTGGCCGCCGGGCAGATCTGCAATTTCCCATGCTGAATTATAGCCACTTCAGTTAAAAAAAACTATCCAAAGCATGCAATCAAACAGTAAAATGCAATGCATGTTTTTTAAAGAGGTAAATACACTGCCGGTCACAGAACTTGCGTCGGATGGTCAGTTTTGTTCTAAAACTTGTAAAATACGTGATTATGGTCACTCAACTTGTCCTCTCATTCAAATACGGTCATTCCTCATGTATTTGGCCGTATTCCGTGCTTGCATGGAGCGCTAGGGTGGCACTGGGCCACTGTCAGTAACTGGTAGAGTCTGCACTGTTGTTTTTTTTCTTGCAAAATCCACCTTGTATTTTTTTTTATTTACATAGAGATTTCCTCAAATAAATTGAAAAAACAACAACGATGGAGGGGTGGGTTTGGAACCCAGGACCTACTGGGTCGTGCACTCGTGCGTACAGCCACCACATCAACCGTTGATGTGTACAGTACACAACAGTACTATTCATATTGTTTTACGGCAGATTGGAAAATTTAGTCGAAATCCAACCAAAAAATGCGAGCCCGTGATTCAAACTTGTGGCCTCAGCTAACCATCCTGACCACGAGGGATCTTGATGAATAAAGGGATAAATACAATTTATTTTGTCTGTTCTTATGTCATTTCTATCCTAAAATATATTCATAGTTTTTTTTCTAAAGTTTTTTCTTCAAAATAGTGAAACTTCCCATCGTGAGGTAGCTTAAGATTCCTTACTATATTTAAATTGAATTAGCACTTATCTGTAGATAATAACATGGTAACTAGGCTACAAATTTGGACACTGTACCTAACTTTGAATATAGCTTCCCTGCATATGCATGTATAAAAGCTCGCTGGCATTGAGACTCATAAATTCGAAAAATAATAATTAAACTATACAACACAAAGCACTGTTATCTGTGTTTATCTAATAAATAATATTTTTAGCTAATTAATGATGCACATACTTAGATTGCAATGCCTAAAAAGATCTCTGAACCATGTAAATGCAAAGGCAACATGAAGGAAACACAAGATATATCGGAATATATGTTGTTTCCTTACAGAACAAAAGAAACCATGTTTATACCACTATGTCATTAGGTGTCATCGTAGTATGGTAGTTAGCCCAGGCGCACTTGAGCGACCACGAGGTTTCTGGTTCGAACCGCTTGGGCTCCCTAATTTTCCTTTAGCTTTCGACTTTAATTTTTTCCGGTCAGTATTAGAATGACACAAAATTAGTTCTGCCCCATACATGTGAACATTCATGGGTGTGGTGGCTGTAGGCGTGAGTGTAATAGGTTTAGGTCGTGGGTTTTGAATCCAACCTCCTGCCCCCTGTTCTTTCATTTTATTTGATTTGAGGGCTCTCTATGTAAATAAAAAAATGTAAGGGTGTTTCTGCAAAAAAAAAGTGCGCCGAGGGGCTCTCTACGTAAATAAAAATTGGAAAGGTGTTTTCACATAAGCCCAGTGCAAGCGCTACCATGCACTAGCAGATGGGTCCTATTCAAGGCTTTCATGTGTAGTTTAAAAAAATTATGGGTTGTCTTTGCAAAATAATTATTGCGCCTGGGTCACCCAATGCCTCCCCGTCCACACCCACTGACCTGTGGGCCAGTGCCACGCTGGCTGGCCACGTGAGCACGTGATACGCCTGGACACGGAAGGAATGACCGTATTTGAACAAGATGACAAGTTAAGTGACCACAATCACGTATTTTACAAGTTTTAGCACCAAAGTGAACATCTGACGCAAGTTCTATGACCATCGGTGTATTTACCTCTTTTTTAAATGTTCTGAATAATTAATACATATCAGTCAAAATTGTAACTGGGGCTTTGCCGCCAACCATCCGCACAAATTCCTTGAACACCCAGTTGAAACTTTCCACCGTCTCGTCCCTCATTAACACTCCACCAAATATAATGCTTTGGAAATGGTTGTTCACACCAACAAACAAACCAAAAGGCATGTCATATAGGTTAGTTCTATAGGTGGTTCATATGTAATTGCATCTCCAAAATATCTATACTGGTCTATCCCGTGGCCAGGAACCCACATCAGGGTCTTAACCCTAGACTCTTCGTCTACTTGGACGTTGTATGTAAAATGAGGATCAGCAGCTTTTAGGTCGTGTAGCAAGGTTACTGTTTTGGTTGCATCATGATCAGATTGGTCTTTGCTAAGCTTACCACATAGAGTCCTTGGCGATCTTTTGGTAAATGGTACATTTTCCAACGTACCGAAGAAGCTTCCAACAATACTGTAAACTTTGCTAAGGCTTACATTGTTCTCTCGTAACTGCTTCACCAAGTCTTTAGTGTGTATATCAACATACCGGTGCGATTTCCAATGCAGCTATTGCCCGCACGTAATAGACAGAGGGTGGTTATGCTGGCTTTGGTGCTAGCTGATATACCATCCATTGTTAGCAGAACGCAGCAGACGTATTTTTGCATCACAACCACACCTTGTTGATCTACTGTTATCCTTTGTTGGTACACCCTACATTAAAATTTGGTGCATATTAAAATTTGGTCTTCATATACTCATAATATAAAAAACATAAAGAATTTCACGCGTTTCACATTCAGACGACTTCTAGCAAAATGTATCCCGAAACCAACCTCCCAAGAACATAAATTGTAAAATTTGTATGCCTCGTTCAACGAATTGAACGATAACCCAAACGTAGGGTTTATTACAAAGCCTTCCTTCTTTTCTGCAAAACCCCTGATAGTCAATTCTAGTGCGCTCTTTCGGTCTGCGCTCCATTCTCTCTTAGTGTCTCCATCAGATAACCTAACCTTGCAGGTGGAGTTACAAAATTCAATAAGTACAGTATTAACTAGTGTACAGAAAAACTAATAACTAATCCAGTATAATATTTTTTTCTATATACTACATGAATGGGCCGGCTTTTAGTTTGTTTCCCATTGCTGCCATTTCACCCAATGAATTAGCCTACCATCCAAAGGGCGGCCCATCTATGAACAACCATGTACCAACTGTAGAATTGGCCCACGAACTACATGACGCAAAATATAAATGGGCTCGCACTAGTTTAGTTGGCCTCCATCTAATCTTATCAGAAAAAAAAGTAAAACGTATTTTCAACCAGTGCAAGCATAGTCAAGTATTGGATTCATGTTTTTGCATGTTCTGAAACAGCACAAAAAGTACATCAGCTATTTGTTTTCCTTGCGAAGGAAAAGTTACTACCGAATAAAATCGTCTTAGGAAACATTAGAGATGTAGTGAAGTCATGAATTTTTTTATAATAAGTTGGATTGTTCTATCAGCATATTTCTCCTAGATGTACGTAGCTATTCACATATTATTATTGGGAAATCTCAGTCTTTTTTTTGTGTTTATATCTAGTTTACGTCATTTTGAACTCAAGAAGTCATGTATAAAAAAAAATTGAGTTAACACTTAACAAGCTAACCTTCGTTTCCACTTAGACGTTGCCTCTCCACAAGCATCAGGAACACACGCCTCGCACGATCCAGCTTCTACACTCTGCACACCCAAAACGGACTCCTCGGCTGCGTGGTCGACCGATCTATCTTCATGTACTTGCCCATTAGCTGCAGGTTCTGAAGCAGCTCCATTCTGATGCTGGATCCCTCCCTCTGTTCTGACGTTCTCGCAAACCCTAGATGATCCTGACGAACAGTTTGATTCAGCCGGACGAACAACATGATCCCTTGCCACCGTCAAGGAGCAGACAGGAATCAAACTACCGGTTGATCTAAGAGTAGTGGAAACAAATACGATTAGTACTAAGTTGTCGATACAAAACTTGCAGAAGGGTTCAAACAAACGAACCTTAGATTACCGTCCATGTCGACGAACTCCATATCACAAGGTTTCAAAATGATGGATCTGAAACGATGGGAGACGACCTGGTAGCTTTCTGTGTCGA